CATGCCGGGAGGTGTTCCCGTATTCTTTTAGATAAGCGCCTACTCGTGCGATAAGCTGCCAGCTCAGACCACTTCTATGTGTATCTACTCATTACTTGCTCCTGTGGAGCTGGTTATATCTGTCGCACGAGTAGGCGCTTATCTAAAAGAATACAGGAACACCTCCCGGCATGGCTAGCCAAAGACGAGAACAAAAGCAAAAACAGTTCTCTCCTCGCACACATGGTTGACACCGGACATCGTGTGGACCCAAGCGAAGCCTTCAAGGTAATTTACAAGGTCCCACCAAACTACCCAAAGTCCCTGGGTCAACGTCGGCTAGCAACAGCAGAAGCAACCGCAATCCGATCGAAGAAACCGGTTTTGTGCGCACAAAATAACCTCGTGCAAGCCCCAACTTGGCATGGCCAACAATTACCTAATTGTCTGCACCGTTCCGCGCTCCGATTGGCTCCCGCGAGTAAGGAAAGACAATTTATCGATTTAAACATTTAAACCTCCCTTTTAACTGTATGGCCTGATGAGAATTTACTGAAAGCGTTCGCTCACCAAAATTGTGTTCTGTATTTCCAAAGATGCACTAGCTTGAGATGTCCCCTGCACCGGTCTGTCCCCGCCTGCAGACAGTGTCATTACCACTGACAAGCTCTCTGGCTTTTTCCCTGGTAACTTTTACCATATTATTTCACCGTCAGGTTCTGCCCAACAGTGTGTTCAGTTTCCAGGTCACGTGTTTGTTACTTACATAAGTATAGGTATCACCGGTTGATCGATGAAATCATCTCGTCGAAATGGTCATTTCGTTGCTTCCTTACTGAGTCCTTTAACCTTCTGCTGTCTGTGATTTTTCATTTTCATTTAACCGTATGTCTAAAATAATGTGTTTTTAGGGGGACGAAATCATCAAAACCGAGGTGGTTTATTCTCTCGATTTAGTTCGTGCGCCTTTTTGTCAGTTAACCGATACTCGCTAACATCAGTTTCCGCACATTTCTTTCATTTTCAGCGCATAAAGCTGAACGATCTGCTAATATGTCGCCGTGTCTTCGTGCCCTCCGACTGCTTTGCAGTTTCGCTTTCCTCAGGCCAAGCTGACGAGCCGTCTCCAGTTCTCTCCCTGGCCATTTCGCCAAACACCGAGGCACTCCTCAGGGGGGAAGTACTCTCCTCCAGTTTCATCCTTACTGTCGGGGCCCTCAGGGTAGATAGGCTAGGCAGAATTAGGGAGGCTTCCGACTCTCTTGCCCGGACAGTCGACGACAATGACAGTTACCTCTGTCCGATCGGCTATCGGTAGGCACCATTTGGTCCTGACCTTTCCACTTTTTTTAATCTGATATTTCTCAACCTAATTTCCCACGGGTGCCCATGCTCACTGCTTTTACGGTTTATCCACCTACAGTGCTCGGAGAATCTACTGGAGTTGCCAAAAAATGGATGCTCGTGTCGCCTACACCCTAAATG